GCGTGGGGTGAGCACCGTGAGGGCGGCGCGCACACAGGACACGCCCATGCCCTCTCTCCAGACACTTTCAGGCCTATTTCTCCCTAAAACAAGCTCCTCCCCCCGACCCCCCAGGTCTCCGCCTCACCCATCAGCCGGAGCCTCCTGAGCAGTGAGATTCCGACACAAACCCGCTCACAGCATCCTATCCACAGGCGACCTCCCTCCCGTGCGCTCTACGCTCAGCGCCCCGTGCTCCAGGGGCGCCCCAGGGATGACCCCCAAAGAGATGCCCTCCCTGACCCTGAGAGATGACCTCCCTGACCCCAAAGAGATGACCTCGCTGACCCCGCAGGGATGGCCCCCAGGCTGGGACCTGCGCCCACAGCCCGCAGGTGTGACGGTGCAGCGCAGCCCAGACGGCAGGGCCCAGGCCGTGCACGTGACAGGCAAGCTGGTCCCTGAGACTTTACAGGGACTGAAGGACTTACCCAGGCAATGGGCGCAGGAGGATGGGCCAGAAGGGCATGGTGAGGGCACTGGAGTGAGCACGCCGACCACACGGTGTGGGCGCCCACGTGTCTGCACCTCCTCCTCGGTGCGCACCCGTGGGCTCAGGGGGGCACACTCACCCGGACCTGGCCGTCTGCTGCGCTGACCACCGGACCGATTGGCTCAATGCCAGGCCCGCCTGAGGCCCAGGCCCTCCCTCCAGCTCCAGGGCGCAGCCCTCCTGGAATGGCTCAGGGACCTCGGGCTCCCCGCGGCGCCCTGTGGCCCCTGTCCTGTCCGGCGGGAGCTGGGCCGGAAGGGGAAGCTTAGAGATGGGTACTCACCTCCCAGCTCCCAGGGCAGAAGCGACGAGTCTGCCGGCCTCCCCAAGCCCGCCGCGGCCCCCTCCTGTCCTCCTGTCCCTCGCCGTCCGCTGCCAGGGGCCGCTCTGCCCCTTCCTCTCAGGCCGCCGGTGGCCAGTGGTTGAGCCTCGACCTATGAACCAGGAGGTCAGGGCACCTGCCCAGTGTGGGGCGTGCAGGAGGCAGCCCATCAGTGATTCTCTCTCATCATTGATGTTTCTCTCTCTCCCTTCCTCTCTCTCTAAAGTCAATAAAAACATATTTTATAAAATACAGTATACATTGAAACTAATATAATATTGAATGTCAACTATAATTTAAAAATTAAAATAAAAAAAGACATGAGTTTGCCCCTCCTCAAAAGAGACTATACAATATATCAAGTCATTATGCTATATGCCTGGAACTAATATAATTCATATGTCAATTATATTTTAATAAAATAAATAAATATTTTTCAAACATTAGCTTGAATAAATGGAAAGATACACTGTGTTCTCTGCTAGGAAGACTCACTATCATAAAGCAGTGTTTTACATTTATAAATTATCAGAATAGAAGTACAGATGGAATTGGGTAAGCTAATCCAAAGTTCCCATGGACATAATAAGTGAAGAAAGAAGAGCCGGGAAATTCTGAGAAAGAGCAGTAAGGGCCCTCCACTGCTCAGGGGCGTAGACATGGATTAGCCAGTGAAACTAACAAGGTCCAGCGGGAGCGCGTGCGTGGAGGGTTCAGGGCACATGCCCCTGCGAGCAAGCCAGCAGCGGGGGGAAGGGGGGGGGGCGCTTCTAACAGGGGGTGTCCGGAAGACCCGGCAGCGAGCTGGGAAAACAAAGCCCGTTCCGGGCCCGTGCTGTCCATCAGGAAGCGAGGCGGCCCCACGCACCAAAGACTTCAATGTACGTCAGTGGTTCTCAACCTCCCTAATGCCGCGACCCTTTAACACAGTTCCTCATGTTGTGGTGACCCCCAATTTCATTGTTACAAATTGAACATAATGAAAGCACAGTGATTAATCACAAAAACAATATGTCATTATATATGTGTTTTCCGATGGTCTTAGGCGACCCCTGTGAAAGGGTCGTTCGACCCCCAAAGGGGCCGCGACCCACAGGTTGAGAACCGCTGATGTAAGTAAATGAAACCACGAGGTACGAGGTACGGGAGATGCTCTGGAAATGGCCGAGGGAAGAGGGTGCTCGAGGGAAGAGGCTGTCAGGGGTCGCGTGGAACTGAGCGGGGAGATTGGACAGGAGACAGAGAGCGAGCGAGGGAGGGGGGACTCGAGCAGCCGCCGAGGGTCAGGAGTGAATGGACGACCAAGCGAGTGCGAGGGGGCACCTGGGGCAGGATGGGGCTCTGGACGCAGGACCGGGGGCTCTGGACACAGGACGGGGCTCTGGACGCAGGACCGGGGGCTCTGGACGCAGGACCGGGTGCTCTGGACGCAGGACCAGGGGCTCTGGACACAGGACGGGGCTCTGGACGCAGGACCTGGGGCTCTGGACAGAGCGGAGGGGCTGAGCTGCTCGAGCAGCAGGAGGACTCAGCCCTGTGAGCGGGGAGGTCACCACGCTCCCCTGAACCTTCTGGCATCCTTCTCCCCGAAAGGCTTCTGCTCCAGGGATCGGCCTGCCCCCTCATCAGCCTGGGC